TTTGTGTGGCAATTAATGGATTTCTTGTACATCCTGTTTTATTAACTTCGTTCTGGAAATAAAAAAAGAAGACAAACTACATAAAAGCCCCAAAGTATAGGGTCATTTTCAAGTTCATACCCACCTTTTGGGAAATTTACGACCCTTGGAAAACCTACAAATTGCCCCCTCCGTTACACAAACCATTAATGAATCTGTTAAGTGCTGATGTGGCAAATATGGGTCCAATTTTTTAATGACATGAACTTCCAAGTGGACAAATATATAATAAAAAATTATCTACTTTTTAATAAAAAATTAAAATCATATTAAAAATTAAAAATTATCTCCTCCAAGCCCCCTACCCAGCGAACCCAGCTACTCCAGCCACCAAAACCACCACCCAAGCCACCCAAACGACCACCCAGCTCCTCCATTCACATCCCCAAATAACTTACCTAGGCCACCCATTCCAGCTTTACAACCCATCTTGTTCCAGCCAAATCCCCTACTCTTGCAACTTTGGGCTTCGAGAACTTGGTCGCGTTTTGAAAATGGGTTATCGATTTTTTCAAGGGCGGGGGGTTGGGGGGGGGGAGATGGGTGTGTTAGCATAATGGGACCGAACCAGATGTAAGAGAGAGAGAGAGAGAGAGAGAGAGACAAAGAGGGGCGGAGGGAAGGGGATGGGGCTGGGCCGGGGCTGCGTGGAGAAGAGGGGTGGCGCTGGGCTGAGAGATTTCGGGGCTATCGGGAGGTGCGATGGGCGATCAGGAGGGGCGCTGGGCCGATAGAAACTGCCTTCAACCTTAACTCAATATCTCAAGAACGACAATGATATTACTTCTTTCACAAAGAACAGGATATGATTTCTCAACTCACTCCTCCTTATAGACTCTCTCAATTAATAAAGAGTTAACCTAACCAACTCTCAACTAACTAATACAGACAAAAAGTGGAGTCGTTTTCTCACTTGTGCAATCAGGAATCTTGTGGTGGGTGTCTTCATCAGAATTGGGCAGCAAGATCGATCGGGAGGGGGGCTGGGTGATGAGTGATTTGGCCGTTGAGGTTTTTTTATTTTTTCAAAATAACTGTAAAGAATTTATGATTTTTTTTTAATGTTTATTATTAATTTTTCATATGGAGTCCACTTCATTAAAAAAATAGGACCCATATTTGCCACATCAGTATTTAACAGATTCATTAACGATTTGTGTGACGGAGGGGGCAATTTGTAGGTTTTCTGGGGGTTTGAGTATGTACTCGTAAATGTCCCTAAAGGTGAGTATGAACTTGAAAATGACCCTATAGTTTGGGGGTTTTATGTAGTTTGCCCCAAAAAAAAAAAAATTATCCTTCCCTATCAAACAAAAGGCAACAGTATAATTTTTAGTGAGAGTGTAAGCTGTTGATTTTATTTGGGATGAAGTCTGATTTTTCGCTTTTGGTTGTGTTTGTTTGTTTAAGAGTTTTTGGGATATCTTCTTTAGTGTGATTCATCTTGATGTGTGTGAGCTTTGTTGATTGTAACTCGTTCAGCTTTGTTATAGGGCTGGAGGCTTTGTTCAGATGGAGTTCTTGACTTTTTTTTCTTGTCATTATCTGAACAAAAAAAAAGATGGACATATTCTCGATCTTCTCTTCTGCTCCTTTTTCTACATATATTCGAAAACAAATACAAAATCAAGTCTTGGTGCATGTTTAAAAAAATAAATAAATAAATTCCTGAGTCTCTGGTTCTTAGGCTCTCTCAGGTTTGATTCATAAAGGTCCCTCTTATGGCAGGTGTTAGCGAGGTTATCTTTTATAGGGTGTCTAGGCCATATGACCAGAATCAAGCCGCAATTTGAGAAGACACGGAAAGTAAGTGGACCTAGGGCTTTACAACCTAGCCAGGTAAGGGTGATGTCTCTGCAATGCTTTGAAAATGTGTCACCTTTTACATGATGGATATCTGAATATATATGTATCTTTGTACTTACAGTATTTTTTACATGATGGATATCTGAATATATATGTATCTTTGTACTTACGGTACTTTGCTTTTGCTTTATTACTTTTGGTGAAGTGGGGCATGCTTTGCCCTTGTGATACTCCAGAAGGTGAACCTTGCGGACTGATTAAAAACTTGGCCCTGATGACTCATGTGACAACTGATGAAGAGGAGAGCCCGTTAATTTCTCTGGTATGCTCGTCATCACACATTTTTGATATACCCATGGAGGTGTAATTTTTGTTTTCACTTATTGTGCTGCATCATACAATAAGTGATGGCATATTTAATAATTGCAGTACCTTCTGCATTTGCATGTGTAATTGTTAAGTCTTATATGGTTGAAGAATTGCATTATATTTTACTATATTATGGCGGTATGTTGTTTTGGGTTAAGGTTTCTTTTGCTGTTATTGGGAAGGAGAACGGGTTTTTTTTCTTTTTCTTTTTCTCTTTATCTTTTCAAAATCCCAAGCTCTAAGAAACTAGCGTGCACAAGACACACCTTTTGGAGCGAGGCACACGCTTCATCAAAATGTCCAAGTCTTCAGGCATTTTGGCTTTTCAAAGGGATGCAGGAGGCATTTCCCTTTCGCCTCATTTTGAGTTAGGCCTCAATTTGCCTTTGAAAACTCTGGGTAGTAGATGCTAAATAATAAAATTGAGTATAGTTCTCATTCCTACATTTTATGCATACATTAGATATTTGATTCTTGTTCGTTATAGGTTAGTATATTATCGTGCTAATGTTGGTACTATAATTAGGTTGCAATTTGTTAGATACATATATTAATTTGGGTACAAAAATGTTTTTATAGGATTAAATTTGTTTTGGGCCTCTATTATTTTAATATTTTTCAATGAAATCACTGCAATTAATAACGGTTGAAATAAAGATCAAATCAAGATTTCTATCATTTAAATTGACAGAATGTGCATGTCCATGGGATGGTATTTGTATCTATCTGCAGCTGTATTCTGTATGTCTGTCCTTGTTTGTTTAGTTCTGATGTAATCTTTGTTGGAGCAAAAGATCTCCACCTTTCTTGAGTAATGATAATACCCTGTAAGATGAACAAACCTCGGGTGAGGGGACATTATGGTGTGGTGCTAGCCAAGGACCGCCTGATGGAAGGGTCGATAGTTTCTTAATTTGCATTGGGCCCCTTTAAACAATTCTGAATTCACAGTCCGTTTAACCCAGTTAAAGGTGTGAGGGCACTTTAGTCTTGTTCATTCGTGTTAGACACGTAGCAAGACGTGGTTAATTTTGGTCCCACAGACTTCTTGTGCACAACTATTTGTGTTTCTTTAAAAATTGATCAATAAATAGTTTCTTTTCAAAGCAATTAAAAAGTTGAATGTATATATGCAATGAAGCCATGTAGAAGGGTCAATAGTACAGTTTTTGGGGGTTTTTTTTTTTCAACATGACGAATAATAACTTTGTATGCAGAATGTGCACATTCCATTAATTTAACTGAGGAAAATCCTGATTTATACTTAATTGCATCAGTTATTAATTACAGGGACTTGAATGAAAAAAAAAATCTACTGAGAAGTTGGAACTAAGTAGTAAATAGCCTAAAATTATAAGGACCAGAATTGTAGTTTCAGCAAAATAATCTTTTGTTAGAAAATAAAAGTTTATTATGTTTTTCTGTCAATTAAAAGATAGGATTTTATATGTTTTCCTGAAAACTGATTTAAGTAAGATCTGCAATTCGTTGACTTCCAAAAAATCAATTGGACTTGTAGATAATATCTAGCTTCAGCAGATATCCCTTATAGTTTGAAAAGATATTCAGAAAGAACTGAACATTTGTTGTTCCTGTATGTGCATTAGCTAATCCACTGGCCATATTAATTTTTAGTTTATTCCTTTTTTAGTGCGAAAGGCTTACACTCTGTATTATTTAATTTCTTGTGCAATAGTGCTACTGTTTGGGTGTTGAAGGCTTGGAAGTACTATCAGGAGAGGAGCTTCACACACCATATTCTTTTCTAGTTTTGTTCAACGGAAACATCCTTGGAAAGCATAGGAAGCCACAGGTAATAACAGTGTTCCATACAGATGTCTATGAATACACACGCTCATATAGTTCCGTCACGGCTGTTCAGTTTGTTTGCCAGTCACAAAAATGGCCAGGTGTGATGGGGTGTTCTGCCAGAAAAATTTGCAGATGATGTTTCTGTTATATGATTTATGTATTAGTGTCTT